AAACAATTAGGAAATGAATGAAAAATTATCTAAAGAAATTGAAATATTATAAAAGAACCAAACAGAAACACTGGAAATGAAAGAAGCATTTAAGGAACTATAAAACACAGTGCAAAGCCTTAAGAATAGAATGGATCATGCAGAGGAAGGAATCTCAGAGCCTGAAGATAATGTCTATATGCCAAACAAATCAGATGAAGAAAAAGAACACAGAAGGAACAGACAAGAACAAAATATACAAAAAATGTGGGATTATGTAAAGAAACCCAACATAAAAATTATAGGCATCCAAGAGAGAAAAGAAAATGCACAAAGGATGGAAAATCTATTTCTTGGAACACTGGAGGAAAATATACCTGTCCTGGCCAGAAATCTAGATATCTAGATACAAGAAGCACACAGAACTCCCAGGAGACTCAACATGAAAAAGCAATCACCACGTCACATAATTATTAGACTTGCCAAGGTAAACAGGAAAGAAGCAATCCTTCAAGCAGTAAGATGAAAACAGCAGGTAACGTATAAAAAAAACCTATCAGACTAACTGCAGACTTCTCAACTGAAACCTTACAAGCCAGAAGGGACTGGGCACCTATCCTCAATCTTCTAAAATAGAATAATGGCCAACCTAGAATTCTTCACCCAGCAAAACTAAGCTTGTTTAATTTCGACATCTGCGTCGAACAGACATCTACAGAATATTCCACCCAAATAAAGCCGAATATACATTCTTCTCATTAACTCATGGAACCTTCTCAAAAATTGATCACATCTTAGGCCACGAATCAGATCTCAACAAATTTAAAATAATAGAAATTATACATGTATCTTCTCAGACCACAGTGGTATAAAACTAGAATTCAATTCCAACAGAAACCCTCACCACTTTGCAAAGTCATGGAAATTAAACAATCTACTGCTGAAAGACTATTGGGTCAAGGAGTAGATCCAGATGGAAATCAAAAGATTCTTTGAACTAAATGATAATGGGGACACAAGTTATCAAAATCTGTGGGACACAACAAAAGCATTCCAGAGAGGAAAACTAATAGCATTACATTCTCACATCCAAAAGACAGAAAGCTCAAAAATCAACAAACTAATCAGCTGTCTCAAGGAACTGGAAAAGGAAGAGCAAATTAATTCTAAACCTAGCAGAAGAAAAGAAATAACTAATATCAGAGCAGAAATAAATAAAATTGAGAATAAAAGAACTATACAGAAGATCAATAAAACCAAAAGTTGGTTTTTCAAAAAGATAAACAAAATTGACAGCCTTCTTGCTAGATTGACAAGAACTAGAAAGGAAAGGACTCTAATAAACTCAATTAGAAATGAAAAAGGAGAGGTTACCACAGACATCATGGAAATAGAAAACATTATCTTTGAATACTATAAAAATCTATATGCCCCAAAACTATAAAATGTGGAGGAAATGGACAAATTCCTGGAAACACATAACCTCCCTAAGCTCAATCAGGAGGAAATAGAATTCCTGAATAGACCAATATCAAGCACAGAAATTGGAGGAGAATTTAAAAACCTTCCAACAAGAAAAACTCCCAGACCAGATGGGTTCACACTCAAATTTTACCAAACCTACAAAGAAGACCTCATACCTATACTGTAGAAATTATTCCACAACATTGACAAAGATGGTATCCTTCCCAACTCATTCTACGAAGCCAATATTACCTTGATATCAAAGCCAGGAAAGGACACAACAAAAATGAAAACTACAGACCAATATCCCTCATGAATATCGGTGCAAAAAATCCTCAACAAAATCTTAGCAATCGAATCCAAGAGCACTTGAAAAAAATAATTCATCATGACCAGGTGGGCTTTATCCTAGAGATTCAAGGCTGGTTCAACATACACAAATCTATAAATGCAATTCACCACATAAATAAAAGCAAGAACAAAGACCGTATGATTCTCTCAATAGATGCAGGAAAAGCATTTGGCACAACCCAGCACACTTTTATAATAAAAACTCTTAACAGAATAGGCACAGATGGGACATATCTTAAGATTCTTAAGGCCACATAAGATAAACCCATAGCCAAAATCATAATGGGCAAAATTGAAAGCATTCCCGCTTAGAACTGGAACCGGACAAGGTTGCCCAGTATCTCCACTTTTATTTAACATAGTGCTGAAAGTCCTTGCCAGAGCAATCAGACAAGAGAGGGGAATTAAGGGCATCTGAATGGGGACAGAAGAGATCAAACTTTCACTCTTTGCTGACGATATGATAGTATTTCTAGAAAACCCCAAGGATTCAACCAAGAGACTCCTGGTATTAATAAATCAATTCAGTAAAGTCTCAGGATACCAAATTAATGCATACAAATTGGTGGCATTCATATACGCCAGTAAGAGTCAAACCGAAAATCAAATAAAAAATGCAAAACCTTTCACAATAGCATCAAAGAAAATTAAATATCTAGGAATACATTTAATGAAGGAGGCGAGAGACATATATAGGGAGAACTACAAAACACTGAAAAAAGGAATTGTAGAAGAGGTTAAGAGATGGAAAAATCTACCATGCTCATGGATTGGCACAATCAAAATCATTATGTCCATACTACCTAAAGTGATCTACAGAATTAATGCAATCCCTATCAAAGTACATCATTATTCTTTACAGATCTAGAAAAAATAATTCTATGCTTCGTATGGAACCAGAGAAGACCTTATATAGCCAAAGCAATCTTAAGCAAAAAGAACAAGTTGGGAGGTATCCATGTGCCAGACTTCTAGCTTTACTACAAGGCTAGAATAACCAAAACAGCATGGTACTGGCACAAAAACAGAGATATAGATCTTTGCAACAGGATTGAGAACCCAGGCATAAAACCATCCTCATATTGTCATCTAATCTTTGACAAAGCAGACAAAAACATACATTGGGGGAAAAAGATCTCTGTTCAATAAATGATGCTGGGAAAACTAGATAACTACATGCAGAAGATTCAAACTGGATCCCCACCTCTCACCTCTCACAAAAATTAACTCAAAATGGATAACAGACTGAAACCTAAGGAGTGAAACCTTAAGAATTCTAGAAGAAAATGTTGAGAAAACTTCTATAGACATTGGCCGAGGCAAAGAATTTATGAAGAAGAACCCCAAAGCAATGACAGAAGCAAAAAAATAAATAAATGGGACCTGATCAAATTAAAAAGTTTCTGCACAGCCAAGGAAACTATCATGAGAGCAAACACACAACCTACAGAATGAGAGAAATATTCGCATTCTACATATCCAATAAAGGGCTGATAAAAAGAATCTATACAGAACTTAAGAAAATAAACAAGAAAAAAATCAAACAACCCCAAGGACATGAACACAAACTTTTCAAAAGAAGACAGAATAATGGCCAGCAAACATATTAAAAAAGTGTTCAACATCTCTAATCATTAGGGAAATGCAAATCAAACCCACAATGAGGTATCACCTAACTCCAGTGAGAATGGCCTTTATCAAAAAGTCCCAAAACAACAAATACTGGCATGGATATGGAGAGATAGGAACACTCTTACATTGCTGGTGGGACTGCAAATTAGTACAACCCCTGTGGAAAGTAATTTGGAGACACCTCAAAGAGCTAAAAATAGAAACACCATTTGATCCAGCAATCCCACTACTAGGCATCTACCCAAAGGAAAAAAGACATTCTATAATAAAGACATCCGCACTCGAATGTTTATGCAGCACAATTCACAATTGCAAAGATGTGGAAACAACCCACGTGCCCATCAATACATGAGTGGATTAATAAAATGTTGTGTATGTAAACCATGGAATACTACTCAACTACAAAAAACAATGGTGATCTAGCACCTTTCATATTATCCTGGGTAGAGCTTGAGCCCATCCTCTTCAAAGTGAGGTATCACAAGAATGGAAAAATAAGCACCACATATACTCACCATCAAATTAGTACTAAGTGATCAACACTAAGGTGCACACATGATAGTAATGTTCACTGGGTGCCAGTCAGGTGGTGGGGGTGGGGGGAGTAAACTCATAACAAATAGAGACAGAGCGCACAGTATGGGGGAAGGGCATGCTTCTAACCCTGGCTTGGGCGAGACAAAGGCATTGCATGTAACCAAAATGTTTGTACTCCCATAATATTCTGAAATAAAAATAAATAAAAAAGAATAAATAATAAATAATAATGCTAGCAGTAACTAAAATCACTGACATATATTAAGTTCTGCTCAAGATAGGCACTCTACTAAAGACTTGACACTTAGCTCATTTACCATGTGCCAGATTACATGCATTACCCTCACTTAATCCTTTTCACTTTGTTTCAAATCTACACCAAGTTTTTGTGTATAAGAAAAGTCGCCCAATGGATATTTTTGGATGGCAATGTGTATTGACTCTTGCTTGTGCTGATGACAATAATAAAAAGAGTAATAATAGTTATAATCATGCATTGAGTGCTTACCATGTCCCAGACACTCTTCCAAGAACTTTATACATACTCATTGATTTAATTTTCCCAACTGCTCTATGGGACAGGTACTACAGTCATAGCCATTTATAAATTAGGAAACTAAGGAACTGAGGAAGTAAGTATTAATAACTTTCCTGATGTCATACAGCTTCTCAGTGGCACAGTCAGGTTTGTCAAGGATGTTAACCGAATCTCAAAAGATGCTTACACATGCTTAGAGAATAGATTTGTTACTCTCAGTGCGTCTTTCATTCCTGGAATTCTGAGTGGACGTATCAGCGAAAACAAAAATTTCAGAAATGTTTTTAGAAGTTGAAAAAATGGTATTCAAAATAATGTCAGAAAGAGATACCTGTACTTTCCACCAGTCTAATTTGTTCTTGGTGTTAGTGAGAAGTTTAGTAAATGGAGAACCAATGGAACAGCAGGATTGGAGGCCAGACTACTCATTAGAACTGTATATTGTGCCTATGTCCTCCAGCTCTTCTCATTACTTGATGTTTCTTGATCCTCTCTGCAGGCTAAGCTTCTGCCAAGATGTTCCGTTTGCAGAATCCACAGATGCTGCGTATGCTAGAGAGATCCTTGAGGAATAGTCTTCCTGAGTCCTTAAAGGTGAGAATGAAACATTCTTAGAGGAAAAAGGACTAGGAATTGTCTATAAAAGAGCTGAGAAAGAGAACAAGCATTCACTGAGCACTTATTTTGTGCCGACCACTCACTTGTGTAGCATCTCATTTAGTAACGTCACCTTGATGCAAGGCAGGTGTATTATCCATGTAATTGGTGAGGCTCAGTTACATATCTTGACCAAGATGACACCAATAGTGAGTTGCCTTGCTGTGATTTGAATCCAGTATGTTCTTTGCTGTGTGGTGACTCAAAAATATTTCTTTGTAGGGTGGGCGCGGTGGCTCACGCCTGTAATCCTAGCACTCTGGGAGGCCGAGGCGGGCGGATTGTTTGAGCTCAGGAGTTCGAAATCAGCCTGAGCAAGAGCGAGACCCC